CTTCAACCCGGGAGGCAGAGGTTAAGGTGAGTTGAGATCACGCCATTGTACTCCAGCCTGGGCAACAAGAGTGAAACTCCATTAAAAAAAAAATAGATCTATATCTATATCTATATCTATATCTATATCTAAAATCATACTCTATGGAAATTTAAAGACACTTTATTAAAATAAGAAACAAGTCAAAGATATCTACTATCATCATTATTATTTAGCATTGTACTGGAAATCCTAGTGTGTGCATTAAATAACAACAAAAAAGGAAAAAAGGTATACCGATTAGAAAGAAACAAAGAAAACTATCATAATTCACAGATGACTGATTATCTACAAAGAAAATCCAGGAGAGTCTACACTCAAATTATAAGAATTAATGAGTTCTAGGCTGGGCACAGTGGCTCATGCCTGTAATCCCAGCACTTTGGGAAGCTAAGGCCGGCGGATCTACTGAGGTTGGAGCTTGAGACCAGCCTGGCCAACATGGTGAAACACTGTCTCCACTAAAAATACAAAACTTAGCCAGACACGGTAGTGGGTGCCTGTAATTCCAGCTACTCAGGAGAATCACTTGAACCCTGGAGGCAGAGGTTGCAGTGAGCCTCAATTGCGCCATTGCGCCATTGCACTCCAGCCTGGGCAACAAGAGCAAATGCCATCTCAAAAAAAAAAAAAAAAAAAAAAAAAGAAAAGAAAATGAAATTTTAGAAAAGATACCATTTAAAAAAACAAAAAGTAAAATACCTAGCAGTAAATCTAACAAGATTCATGCAATATCTTAATGTAGAAAATTATAAGCTTTGAATAAAAAACTTTAAAGAAGAAATATGTAAATGAATAAGTAAATGGAGAGATATACCATGGTCATGTGTAGAAAGACTCAATATCACAAAAGATACAAAATTTTCATAAATTAATCAATAGACTTCATACAAATCCAAATACCAAAAAAAGAGCATTTAACTTGGCAATGTGATTCCAAAATGTGTGAGAAAAGTCAAATACCAGCCAGGGCTGAACTAAAAAAGAAGCAGGATGGATGATTTGCCCTTCCAGATGTTAAGGCTTATCATAGAACAATAGTAATTGGCAAATTGTGCTATTCATAGAGATAGTTAAACATCACAGTGGATAGAAAAGGGAATCCAGAAACAAGTTCTGCATATACAGATATCTATATAGGACAGAGCATACAGTGCATATTATTGGGAAAATATGCCAGAAAATTTTTTACCCATATAGAAAAATAAATATGGATATGTTATGGACTGAATGTTTTTGTCCCTCCCAATTTATATGTTGAAGCTCTAATCCCCAGTGTGATTGTAACAGTATTTGGAAATGAAGCCTTTGGGAGGTAATTAGGTTTACATGAGGTCATGAGGGTGGGGCCCCCATCATAGGATTAGTGTCCTTATAAGAAGAAGAGAAGAGACTAGAACCAGAGCTGTCTTCCTGTCTCCATCACATGAGGGCACAGTGAGACGGTGCGCCAGGAAGAGAGCCTCACCAGGAATGGAATCTGCTGAAACTTGGTCTTGGATATCCCAGGCTCCAGAACTCTAAGAAATAAATATCTATTGTTTAAGCTGCCCAATTTATGGTATTTTGTTATGGCAGCCCAAGCTGACTGATATATGATGCCTATATCATACTATATAAACATTTCCATTCTAGATGGATTAAAATCATAATTGGAGAAGACAAAACCTTAACACTTCTAATAGAAAGCATAGGAGAAATATCTTTCTGACATAGGAGAGGGAAGTACTTCTTAAGTAGACACAAATGCGCTAATTTACAATGGAAAATACTGACACATTTTATTAAACTAAACATAACCTCCATTTATTAAAGACACCATAAAGTGAATAAAAAGACAGCTATAAACGGACAGATGATGTTTGTAAAACACATAACCAACAAGGGATTTGCATCCCAACTGCTTAAAGAGCCTATGTGAATCAACAAGGAAAGGAAAATACTAGAGTAAGTGCTGAACAAGAATTTTCACAAGAAAGAAAACATGAATGACCAATAAACATATCAAAAGATGGTCAAACCAGGCAACTGAAGAAATACCAATAATACATAATTTTACATACATGCACACACATACATTAATCAGTGTGGCAATTGCAAGAGTTGGAGAGAAAGTGGAACACTAGGGATTATCACATTTGAACAGTGGAAGGATCAATTTGTGATATGTGAAAATGACTGAAAAAGACTTTGTCATTATCTAGAAAAGTTGAACACATGTATACTTTACCTCTATCAGGTATACACCCTAGAGAAATGATTGCATATGTGAACCAAAAGATGCGTACAAAAATCTCTGCAATATTATTCAGGATCACAGAAAAACTAATAACATCCTGAACATCATCAATACAAGAATGCTAATTTGTCATATATTCATATTAATACAATGGAATATTATATAGCAATGAAGATACATAAGCCACAGCTGCTCTACTTATTTCTATTATTAAATGCCATAATCAACATTGACCAATGGAAAAAAACTAGTCAAAGAAGAGCTATAAAAGGCCAAAATAGACAAAACCTAAACCCATATTGTCATATCTATATGCATATGTATTTTTAATATCATGATATAAGTAAAATTAAGATAGTAGTTTTCTCTTGGCAGGACTGAACTGAGAGGGAATGTAATAGAGAACAATTTGAGGGTCAATAAAAGTACTGGTAATGTTCTAGTCTTCAACTAAATGGTGGGTTCAGTCCTGTTCATTTAATTATTCCTTCATTAATCCATATTATTACATTTACTATATTATATACATTCTATATTATAAAAAGGGAACCATGGCAAATCTCAGATCTTTATGTTCAGTCTCTGTAAAAACAAAAAACAAAAAAGACAAAAAAAAAACACAGTCCCAAATAACACTTTTAAAAATGGAACTTAAAAATATGGCAGACTATGAAATAGCCTATAATTTCATTGACAGGACCTGGATTCTCCCGTGGCCATCCAAAGGCTTAGATCAATGCTCAGAAGATTTATTGTTTGCCTGAAGAAACAACTGAGAAATCTGAAGCCTGTAGGTTTATTGGTTTTCCTCCTTGATAAATAATTTCACATTCTCCTTATGGAAATCCAGGATTTTCCAACAATGGAAAAGAAAACGTTACTCCCAAGAGAATGCTGAAATGGCAGTGATCTCAGGGCCAGAAGGTCTCTACCACCTGCCACTCCATATTCTTGTCCACAGGAACCTGTCCTAGGAGTCGTTCCCACCAGGGATCATCAGCCTTATCCAGATTTGTATCAGCCACTGTGCAGTCAGTGTTGCTCTCACCACAAAGTCTCTAGAAGGCAACTCTCAGCAATATCCTCACTGAACTTTCTAATAATCTCTCCAGCTATTTTATGGAATCCATTTGTCAAAAAATATAAGTTGATGTCTCATAAGATGGTGTGACCAACACCTCCCCACCATACCTGAGATGAGACATAAGTTCAAGGCACCTCACTGCAGCTGGCAGTGTCTCAGCTCCCATAACCAGAGAGACTTAGTAAATACCCCAGTGAGAGGGGTGATGCCTGAGCCATTGGTATCTTTGTATAAGCAGCCTTGCCATTTTGTTTCTTTAAACGTTCTCTCATGTTGCCTCCTGATTTTGTCATTTGGGATTTGGGAGACAATCCTTGCTTTCCCCAGCATCCATTGTTGGGTTTACATGTACTATTATCTTTTAAGGTAAGGAGACCTATTCCTTCGCCAGTATCCCAAATCACCTTGGTTTCATCAGCTGCTATTCTCTGCACCTAATCCAGCTCCAACTCCTTTCTTTCCTCATCATTGTGATAAAGGCCAGCAGAATCCCATGCTACATTTTGTTTATTTGGATAGCAGCACAAAGCTGGCACTGGAACCTTGTGGCATGTGGAGAGAAGGTGTCCCACAGGGCAACCAAAGCATGGGTGAGTTCCTAGTTCATAAAAGTGGCTAAGGGGGTACTGGTGTAGCTATTTGGTCATTAGGCAGAGGTTAGTCTTTCACTAAATAGGCTCCAGACTCAAGCTGAATCAGTGTCTGAACTGAATAAGGTGGTGCTTGGTCCCTTTGGATACAATGGCAGAGAAAGAGAGCTACACTGGCCTCAGAATATTTCATATCCAAGAAGAGGAACTAACAAAGTTATCTCAGGGAATTTGGACAGGTGAAAGAAACAAGTGGCCTTAAAATATCAGAGTTACCTAAAAATGTTCAATTTTGCTTTCTATTTCTGGAATGCCAATACAACTCAACAGGATAATGAAAAGGATGTAAATGGAGTAGAAATATCACCTCTGAAATCTTGTGTTTAAAATGTAGACATAGATGTATTGTACCACTACACAGCACCTTTGACTTCTCTTCTGAGCGCTAAATTTGATGTGACTGTCGACAGATTAGTTTTGCCATTATCTATAGTTTCTTTCCAGACTTCCCTCCTTGTAGCTTGGATTTTGTGAGTTTTACATTTAAAAATGTGGTTCCAACTCTTCTCAACCACTCCCACTTGTAGGGTTGAAGTTGAGGATCCAATCATGGGAAATGCTCTTGAGCCAACTTGAGAACACAGGTAAGTACCTACTGTTCTCAGAGTCAGGTAATGGTCTCTTAGCTGCAGACTACGATTAATAGAATGCCAGGTTGCATTTAGCACAAACAACCTGAAAAAACTCTAAAGAAAATGAGGTATGGAGGACAGATAACACCTGCGTCTCTTAGGGACTAGCTAAGAATCTTAAAGTAGAAAAGAGAGAAAGTTATTCTTTAATGTTTGCATGTAATAACACTTGGAAACTTCAAAATCAATACTGTTAAAACCCTGTTTCTGAAAAGGTACAAGGAGGTTCTGAAATAATTGCTACATGCACACTGATATGAATTTTACACTTTGTCCTCAAGATAATGTGTAAGTAATCTGTTTTCCTGCTAACTAAGATGCCCCCCACCACCAAAATGAAGAAATGCTGGACTCACATTGGTGACATATTCGATATCCTTCCAAAGGATGCACTCCATGGGGAAATCAGCCAAGTCTAAGAAGTGATCCACCACCACTTGGCCGATTAAGTCATGACGAGAGAACCTGTCAAAGTCGTACACAGAGAAGTGAAGCTTCCGTGCTTCAAGGTCATTGTAGGGAACCGGAAATAAAAACACTTCATCAAACACAGGGTTCAGGGTCTTTCTGTGAACTTTAGTCTGGTGTTTTGTTTTCCGATCAGGAAGCAAATAGATCTTGACATAAGGATCTGAAGTCCCAGAAAAGTCCTTGGCGGGCAAATTGACAGCTTTGTGAATCTTCACTATGAGCTGTTCTAAGTCACAGTCATATTTTAAAATGAAGTTCAGTTTCCCACAAGCCTTGCTGTTACTCTGTCTCCCGTCATCATTATCCAATGACCTCTGCTTATATAACTCTGGTTTAATTCTACCAATTCCAGTCAACTGTTCCTGTTTTTGAAGCTGCTGGATATTGAAGTCCGGGTTTGACAAGTTGAGTTGTCTTCGGATTGAATTATGCCTTCAATGAAGAGCAACACAGAACAAAGTTACAATCTTATTAGCTATGGGTCTCTCGGAAACTTTTGCCTGGGATGTAGGTAGACTGTTATGTTTTGTTAGGAGCTTAGAACTGTGGGCTTTTTTTTTTTTTTTTTTTTTTGGCCTAAATTCAAAATGCTCATCAGTGTGAGTAAGCTGCTCCCTAAGGCTTGAAGCTCAAAACTGAGGGTTGGTATCAGGAAATGAACCTAGGAACATGTGACCTCGGAGCTTTAAAGGTTTAATACACTTTCTAAACTGTCTAATATGCCATTAAAGAAGCTTATTCGTCTGGTGGAATGTAAAGATTTGTACAAACTGCTTTAAAAAAATTATTCAACTTTATATATAATATCATTTCGAAATTGAAATAGCCAAGTGTTGCCTTAAGAAGAATGAACCTTTCTCTAAATTACACAGAATTTCTTGCCACCGGCTTATAGCTTTATAAGGATATAAATTCTTACTGGTTCAAATCAAATAATTTCATCACAAGAACACAGCTTTTGCTCATGCAAAAATGTATGCGACTGGGATGTGTCTGTATGTAGTGGCTCTGACAGGTACAAGTGGGATGTGTCTGATTGTAGTGGCTCTGACAGGTACAAGTGACAGCACTGGGATTGTGTTTTGGCTGTACACACGGGTGATTAGTGATCAAGAGGACAGGTTTTATTTCTGAAATAAACACTGATGGCACAAAAATTAAAGATGAGCTACTATAAATGTATGTATGGATTCAACTGGAGACGTTGGATACTGATACTTTTAAATTAAATATTTGCTACTGTAGTATACTCTTCACCCTGTAAGTGTATGGGTTTGGGTTAGAAGTTTCCCTAAAATTCTCTTTAAAGCCTGTCTGATCTGTGCATTTCTTCCCAAGTTGAGAGTAGTTATCACATACAAGGTTGTTTTTAAGGTTACTTTTGTTGTTTTTAGCTCAGTTTAGAGTCATTATATTGTATTGTATGCATTTAGTCAACAACCTTAATTAAAATAGCCTCTTTACTAGAAGGTGAAAGAGAACAGCTGGGATGTCTCTTAGGGATTGGTAAACAGTTGGAGAGGCAGAGTAAACATTTGAATTTGCCCTTCTCTTCCTTCCTTCAGACAATGAAATAAAGATGTAAATATGGAATCAAGGGACCCCCAGATATGTTTGAAAGTGTTCTCCCTTGTCACCACAGATATTGCTATGCTGAGCATTCCTCTTTATCCTAAAATAGCCCCCTAACCACTAATCACCCACATGTATGACAAGAGTAATGTCACAGAGCTGTCACTTGTACCTGTCACATCTATCACAGTCCATAGCAAGCAGACATAGCCCAGTCACATACATTCCCACATGTACAAAAACTGTGTGGTCCGAAAGTTGCTGATGGAAGATTTTAATCACTTACAGAGAAATCCACAATCTTAAGGTTTCTCTGTATTTTATGATTTGGATGGGTGAGGGAGGGAAGGCAGGAGTTGCTGTTAAGCATCTAAAACTGGCTTTCTGCGCTAGCGCAGCCAGGTCATTCCCTTGTCCAGAAGTGGAACCAATGTAGTGCTAGAATAGAGCTTGAGTCTCACTTTACTGGACTGTGTGGGCAGAAAGGACTGGGAGGCAGCAGAAAGTAGCCTGCCATATGCAGAAGTTGGAATAGGCTGGTGCCAGCCCTATTTCCCTTTGCTATAGATTTTTCTTTACAGACTAGATTCAAAAAAGGGCCATAATTGGGTCCTGAATCAGTTCCCACCCTTCTAGGTACTGTCTGGTAAGTGGCACTATTTACATCATAAAAGTGCATCCTCAATATCCACCGGATGCTCCTTTTACAGATGAGTCTGTGGAAGACCAACAATTCTGTGTCTACACAATCCAGTCCCAGACAACAATCTCGTGTCAGTCCTAGGCCCTGTCACTCTGCTGCTCTGCAGATAGTTGCTGGGCAGACTGTGTATTACAATTTACCTTTGAATTTTCTTAGTACTGGCATTAGATTAATCACAGCAACATTTTGTCTTCACCATTGTCTGTAGGACTAAATCTACCATAGTGGTGTTTTTTTATTTTGTTTTGTTTTTTAGATGGAGTCTCACTGTTATCGACCAGAGTTGAAATGCAATGGCACGATCTCAGCTCACTGCAACCTCCGCCTCCCAGGTTGAAGCGATTCTCCTGCCTCAGCCTTCTGAGTAGCTGGGATTACAGCAATGTGCCAACACACCCAGCTAATTTTGTATTTTTAGTAGAGACAGGGTCTCTCCATGTTGGTCAGGCTGGTCTTGAACTCCCAACCTCAGGTGATCCGCCTGCCTCGGCCTCCCAAAGCTCTGGGATTAAAGGCGTGAGCCACTGTGCCCGGCCACCATACTTCCAATTTTGATTTAAAGTACATGGATTTGGCTACTTAGTAGTGTGACATATTCTGTTCTACATGTACATTTTCTTAGACATGAAATCTGAAAATAAATTGTCCCACATGCTCAGCCCTTCCTAACCAAAGTGGATTGCCAACAGGGAGGCGGGGTTGTTGGTAAAGGTCAAGACTGAAAAAAGATCCCATTCCCTGAGAACCCAATTGCATAGGAATACCTCCAAAAATTCCCAATATAGCTGACCTCTTAAAAACCAATCACAGGCTAGGTTCAGTGGCTCATGCCTGTAATCCCAGTACTTTGGGAGGCCAAGGTGGGCGGATCCGAGGTCAGGAGATTGAGACAATCCTGGCTAATGTGGTGAAACCCCGTCTCTGCTAAAAATACAAAAAAATTAGCCAGGCGTGGTGGCGGGCACCTGTAGTCCCAGCTACTCGGGAGGCTGAGGCAGGAGAATGGCGTGAACCTGGGAGGTGGAGCTTGCGGTGAGCAGAGATTGCGCCACTGCACTCCAGCCTGGGCGACAGAGTGAGATTCTGTCTCAAAAAACAAAACAAAAACAAAAAACAATCACAGTTATGGGCTAGGCGCAATGGCTCACACCTGTAATCCCAGCATTTTGGGAGGCTGAGGCAGGTGGATCACTTGAGGTCAGGAGTTCAAGACCAGACTGGCCAACATGGTAAAACCTTGTCTCTGCTAAAGATACAAAAATTAGCCAGGCATAGTGGCACACACCTGTAGTCCCAGCTACTTGGGAGGCTGAGGCAGGAGACTCACTTAAACCCAGGTGGCAGAGGTTGCAGTGAGTGAAGACTGAGCCACTGTACTCCAGTCTGGGCAACAGAGAAAGACTTCATCTCAAAAAAACTCAAAAACCAAAAACCAACCAACCAAACAAAAAACCAGTCACAGATATGAATACTACTATCTACTCAAACATTTTACATGATTAATTTCGTTCCTAACACTTTCCCCTCCATTCAGAATCACATTTACTATTGGGAAATCAGTTGAATCTAACTGTAAGGTAGTGGCTTAAAGCAGATAGCAAAGACTGCAACTGGGCATGATAGGTTCTCACTCCTGGGGCTCCCTTTCAATCTCTTTCAATTTCCATTCAGAAGAGAGTTAGAGTTTACTGGAGTTGGGGGAGAGGCATGGTAGAATAGAGAAGCTTAGAACAGCCAGAGAACCAGGGTAACTCATAATCTTCCTGTATAACCTCTGGAGGTCTGGGGGCTGAAAATAAGAAAGTAGAGCAGGGAGACTGCCCCAGGGATGTAAAGGAGAAAAGGGGGTGGAGGAAATGGAAAATCAATATTCTATAGCTCTCATAGGCTACTCAAACAGAGGTGGGAAGAAAAAGCAAGCCCAAAGCAAGAGGGAGGAAAGATACGGAATATAGTGCCACGACCTGAGCTTGCCCCACCCTAGGTGAGGTGGCTCTAAATGGTCAATGAAGGTGGTTTTGAGTGCAGTAAATGTGAGGCTCCCAGGACAAGGGTCTAGAATTTTAATGCCATTGACTGATGGTTCCCCCCTCTGAAGAAGAGAGGGAGAAAGACGTCTGGCTGAGGAAATTTTTATGAAGGAGATGATACTTGAGCTGGGCTTGCCTGCTTAACTTGGCCTCATCCTTAGCCACCTCCAAGCTGATGCTGTAGATGTCAATATGGACATTAAATCTGTTTTCATCTTGGTCCCAGTTCTCTAGCAGAATGGTACTTTCAGCTCTTCTGCCCCAGTAGCTTTTTCCAGAGTCCCTCACATTCACCCACTGCATCTTTGAGTCCAGGCTCTGTAAGCCAGCACTCATATCCCCAACACCCTTTCCATCGCGGGCTTTCATGTGCAGCCATGAACAAGTGCATCCTAATATGTGTTCGTTCACTGCAGTGGCCCATCTCAGAGGTGAAACCTGACCTGTCCTTTCCCTGGTTCTCGGGCACCAGTGTCTACAAGGCTTCAGGATCCAGGGAGAAAAAAGAGAGAAACAAATTGTGGTTTCAGAAATGTTACTGGTTTCTTTCCTGTGTTCAAGTCAAGGCAGGGAATTATGGAAAGAAACAGTGGAGACAGGATGTTTTTCTTCTTCAAAATTCCCCTGGTCATGAAGAAGAGAGGGTTGGGTTGTCCTGAACCACAGGCAGACAGAAGAAGGGGAAATCCTGGATAGGGACAGACACAGTTAGTAGAATACAAGGGCTGGAGGAAGTGGAAATTTGAGGTTTTCTTGGCCTGAAGATTCAAGGATTTCTGCAGGAGTGAGATAATGAAGAGACAGGCATCAGGCCTTGGGGCCAGTGGAGGTGTGTTGTCAAGGATAGGTGGATACACTGAGGCAAGACCTGCTTCCTCCCACTCCCTCCCAAGTTAAACAGATTTGAAACCTTGAATACTTTATCCTCCATAACTAAGATGAGCCTTTGTTCACCAAAACGTTCTCTACAGTAGCTCACGTCTTATGTCTCTTTTCATTACCAATAAAGAGAGAAAATATATACATATATATTATTCTGTAGTGTTATTGACACTACCTAATACTGAATTTTGCACATAGCAAATGCTTGATATCTTAGAGTAAATACAGAAATGCTATGGATATAATAGTTTCTGATCATTTAATCCCAGTAGAGAAAACATTCATTTACATATCATTTCAGGGTCTCATGGAAGTTGAGATAGGTCTAGGCAACTTCCACTTTTGAAGCAGTTAGTTTCTTTAAATCTAAAGAAATAACTTCAGATTCAAAAATTATGTTTTAGATGTTTACAGTGAACCAATGTTCTCACCACACAAAAATATAACTTAATAGAAATGTGCTACTCATAGTATAATTACAACATTTAATTTTTGTGTACTATTTACTTGAGTTGTGGCCAATCACGGGACCTAAATTTAGAGTGTGATGGTTATCTTCCTCTTTCAATTCTGTCAGCATATTTCTGTAACTCTATGGATTGCTTAATTCAGAGATAAGGTCAAAAATCTAATGTGGGGCTCTTAATGAATGTGAGACCTGGGACAAATGGCCTTCTGCCAGCCTCACACCATTATAGGCTCTGCTCAGTTTATACTTCTGGCCCTTTGCCATTCTTGTCAGAAGAGCAAGAGAAAAGTAGCCTGATATTGACCAATGTATTCTGTCAGTCATTCACGGAAAAAAGTCCTCCGTGTGCCAGGTGGTGCTAGGGGCTGGATAGACAGGAAGAAACAAAACAGATGTGGTCTCCGAGTTCACAGAACTAAGTCTAGAGGGGAGTACAAGCAATAAAGAATCACTTAAAATAATTTAATCCTGTGAATGAGGGAAAAAAGGCAATGTGAGGGAGAACTGAAGTGGGAAGGAGTGGGGACAGAACACAGGCTTCACATGGGGTGGCCGGGGAGACCTTTCTGAGAAGGTGATGCTTCAGCTAGGGCATTAGAGAAGTAAAGGACCCAAGAAGGACAAAAAAAAAAAAAAAAAAAAGAAAAGAAAAGCATTCCTGGCTGAGGGAACAACATGTGTCAAGACCTCAAGGCAGGAAGGGGCTTGGGGTGCTGAAGGAACTAAGAGAGGAGCTAGTGCAGCTGCAGTACAACAAGCTTCTTCCAGGCAGTCTCCTAGTGAGTTCATGTTAAAAGTGTCCTCTAGGGTCCTGCAACATGGTGGCCCTGGCCATAAGGTAAGGCTGTTGGAAGCAGACTGTGGCAGTATTATCATGCAGGGCCTTAACAGACCTGATAAGGGGTTTGTGGTGTGGTAATCGAAATTTTCGAAAAACCGAAGTGTTACATAAGAAATTTGAGAAGGCTTAAAAAAAACAGGATGAACTTTCATCTTAGGGCATGAATCAGGAAATGGATTAGATGGCCTTTCAAGGTTCCTTCCATTTTGGGGATCTAGGGATTTTCATACATTTGGAGTAGAGAACTTTATAAAGCTCTGGAATTAAAAAATTCCGAGAAAATTAAAATATCCACATTTCCAGCATATTGGATCACTAAACAAAAGGGATTTCATTCAAATAAAAAAGAATTGACAGGAATTTTGGATGGTATTAGAGTCACTGAAGTAACTAGACACAGAACATGCTTGATCTTGAAAGAACAACAGAAAGTCATTCTGACCAGAAACATTCTTAGAAGATAAAACAAAGCTCATCTTTAGGACATTTCAAAAAGGCACCGTGTCAGCCAAACATATCCAAGAACACATCCAAGCTGAAGAGGCCAGGTGAGGTTGAGATTTTTGATGTAAATGGTGTGACAGAAACTGTGCCAATCACAAGGATCCTGAAGACACCTTTAAACGGAGGCTATGTCTTACGTGCAATGGGAACCTGAGACTGTGATAATGGCTGTCCTGAGATGGTGATAATGGCTGCAGGATGGAAGCAGTAAGAAAGTGTCAGCAGGGAGAAAGTAAAGAACATAATGAGAAAGAAAGGAGAAGAAACAGTAACTGGAAAAGCAGACTGTTTAGAGCTTTCTCAGCAAAGCTTACCTTTCCCCTCCCCAAATATGGGTATCAAAAATATTACTTAAAGAAGAATGTTAAAAACGCTTTGAAGCATAAAGGAAATTTCATTCTCTTTTTCCTTTTTGTTAGCAAAAAGTGTGTATGTGTGGGTGCATTTTCTCATGATGCAACATAATCCCCAAAGAATTAGAAGACCATGTACTGCTCTTATTGTGGTGAGACCCTGAGACAAGGATATATATTTCTAGACAGACCCCATAAAACTAGGTCAGTAATAATTTAGGTATGAATGTTTTAAATGCATAAAAATGCAAATTGTCAGTATTAGGTCAAATGCAGTTAGAAAAGAGTAGTTTTCTTATAGTAGTTCAGATATTCCTAAACTTGATTTTTGTCATCAGAAAAGATAATGTAATTGCATGCCTTCAAAACTAAAATAAATCTGAATACAAAGTGCATTTTACAGGGATAATTCCTTCACTCTTCCTTTTAATTTTTTCCTTTCTACCCAATTTCTACAAATCAGTAGTGATGATAAGAGTTTTTATTTTTTAAGCAAATACTTATTGATATGCAGTATATTTATATACTTTTCCAGTATAAATATTGTGATAATTAGAATGGCATCATTGCTATTAGTTTGTTAAAATTATGGCAGAGTCCTCAGATCAAATCTAAAAAGATCACAGTACTACCACCATATATTGGAGGAACTCAGACCAGAAAAGTTACATGCAGAGTAGAACCAAATAGGAGACAATTTCAAAGGAAATTTCAATGGAGACTCTATCTAAAAGGCTCTAGCTATTGAAATACTGAAAGGATTTTATTATGAGTCTGCACATTGCATGAACTCTATGACAGCATCAAACAGAGCTCTAGTTATATTTAAGTTTTAAATCTGAAGATAAATCCTAGTGATAAAATCTGAGGATTTCTTCTAAATCAAATGGCAGACAACTACCTATCTCCTCACAGTGGAATATTTTAGATTTGGCTCTTTGATTCAGAATTGAAAATAATGCTAAAATAAGTTTCTGAAACAATCAAATTATAAACTGACATATTCCATCCCACCTAATGAAAATGAGTGGAGCCTCTAGGATAAACTCGATTAACATAAAAAGGGTAAAGTCTTATTTCTGTTTCTGGAGAACAAACAATAAAGATTTTAAAAAAATACCTCCAAATTGTGTTTTATACTTTACAAATAACAGCACATGCTATTTCTCTGGCCATCACTCAGGCCAATATTTTCATTCTACAGAAAGCTGCTTCCTGAGTCTCTTTTCCTGAAATATCTTATTGAAAATGAGTTTTTATATCCAGTGATTTAGAACTGGTTGTTTAGCCTCAAATACACTTTTGTGCAATGTCTGAGCCTTGGGAGAGGCCATAATAGCAATACTAACAGCAAAATGGTAGCTCATATTTTGGAGCTTTTACTAGGTGCCAGACCTGTGCAAGCACATGTTATCATTTCACTCTTAAAACCACCTACAAATCAGTAGTATCTATTCCTCTTTTGAAGAAGAGGAAACGGATAGATATGGAGTTTAAGTAATTTGTTCAATGTCACACATGTAAGTAAAGCCAATTCATTTGACTTGGAGACCGCATCTTTTTTCACTGCATTATATTATTTCTCTACTGCTGAAGAGCATAAAGCATCCAGACAATAAAAAGAGAGTGACCTAGGTGTTGGTACTCTGTAAGCCTTCCAAAGGCTGAAGATGGACAAAAACCTCCAGCCACACGGTGGAGTCTGAAGAGAGCCTGTGTGTGACTGTTAGGATAGGTTAGACGCACAGGGAATAAATTCTAAAGCAGTAGGAGGGCAGCAGGGAAGAGTGGTTAAGAGCTCAGATTCTTGTGTTGGTTGAACCAGTGTTCAAATCCTGACCTGGGTATTTACATATATGGCTTTTAAAAAAAGGTAATCTCCTTAAGTTTCTTCTGTTGTAAAATAAAAATGATATTAGTATACATTTCATGCTAAATTGTGAGCTATAACAAAATATGAATATAAAGTTCTTCCAGAGTACTTCACACATGCTGTCTTAATAATGTTAACTATTATTTTTATAAACTAAGTAGAGACCAAGAAGGGCTCAGGAACCTAACTTCAACGTTAGGTTAGCATGGAGTTTTCCATATTCATGTCTCTGATACAGAACAGAAATCTAAAAGGTTATAGACTCCTTGACCAATCAGTGCTATTTTTGCCAGAGAGGGGAATGGGGTGGTCCTTCCTTGCATTCAGAAAGAAGGAGGCATTACTGACCGAGCCGAGGAGGTTGGCTCTGTGACTTGGCGCTGCACGCGGACGCCATGGGCACAGTTCTCCTGGACTCCCGTCTGGGCGGAGAGGGGAATGTCAGGGGAGGTGTGGCTGATCTTCATGGAGGAGTCAGGGCAGGGTGTGGGAGGGTCTAGGAAGTCCTCACTGTTCTCCTGCTCATTGGTCTCTGTGTCCGTGTAGTTAAGAGGCTCCTGGTTGTTGTCTTTGCTACTAGAGGGCAGGCCTCGTTCTCGCCACGGAACCCAGCAGAGTTTCCAAGATACGAAGAGAGACACGCCAAAGAGAGCAAGACCACAGGCAGTGACCACAAGGGTCAGCAGGCTCACTGAGATATCTGCAAAGAAGCAAAGATCAAAAGTCAGTGTGATCATTCCCCACAAGTCCACCCATTGCATAGTATGGGCAAAATGACCCTCTCATCCACTCATCCCTTGGGAGCCGACTGTGGAAGGTCAATCTGGGGCGCACGGCTAGGTTACTTAATTCTGGGGCAGTGGCGATGAGAATTCATACACAAACCAGAGGACCAGTGAGCAGAAACACAGAGGAGGTACCATAGCATGCAGGTCATGTTTAGAAACAATAAACAGCCTGCTATGGCAAGAAAATGGATACATTCATGGAGACTAGAATGCCCTTCAAGTGAAATGATACTCTATCCTACAGGCAGCACCAATCATTAATGTTTTTTGAGCAGGGCAGTTTCAAATGTCCTTAAAAATTATTCTGTCATCTCAGAGAGCTGTACAATGTAACTGGGGAATTGTGTAAGTCATAATTTTTTAAAATAAGAGAAACTAGAGGGCTTTTTTGGGTTCTATTTTTCCTATTAACTTTTACGGTTCTAAGCAAAATGAAGCTCAAATCTTCTGTGAATTTTGCAGCTTCAAGAATAACCCCCACTCAGTGGTAAGTCCTCAGGACTCAGGATAGAATATTATAGTTTGGGTTTCCCCAGTAGTATACCCTAAAACAAGTATTCAAGGGCAAAGCATTATTTAGAAGGAGAAGGAAACACAGGAGAAGTGATCCAGAAAAGGAAGTCAACAAAAGGTACACTGTCAAGTCAGTTCCCATAGTGAGGGAGTAAAGGTTAAGTCTGCTAGGGAGGTTTAATACACCTCAGATACACCTCACCCAAGTGGCACGGGATCCGAGGTATTACACATTAGCTCTCTTTAGTTATTAATTGGAGGGCATTTCCCAAAGGGCATTAAATTCTCATCATTTGACACCTGCCCGGATGAACAAAGTAAGCTTCAGTGGCCAGGAAAATCCCACATTGAAATCAATGCAGAGGCTGCACTGGAGGTCAACAGGCACACAATGAAGTGGTAAGGGGACACGGCAGGTAATGACAGCATCTGCTACATGGATCATGGACCACAGCCCCACGGTGTCAGCAAGTCTTGGCAGTTCAGTATCCAGTGACTGTGCCCCTAAGGTTTAAAACAGTTCACCCCCTCCAGGCTTCTGCCCCAAGCTACAGTAGAGCCAGGAGGCTGAGCATCAATCTGAAAGCATTTCTGGCACTATGGTAGCCATAAAATCCTTATTTTTTAAAGGACAACCCTGCCTGTCATTACGGTGCTTCATTACACCTGGAGCCCCATGGATTCTCCCCAGGGTTTGCCTCTACTGCCCATCATTAATATTTGCATTGCTTCAACCAAAGTTTTCTGAATGCCTACTACATGCCAAGTGCCACGCTAAGCTCTGGAGATACAATGAGGAATATGATAGGCGCACGCCATGTCTTCATATATTCATATTCTAATGAAGGAGAAAATTAGAAATTGGTCATTTAGTACTCACAATTTCAACTGTGCACAGCACTGCCAACATACTATGATCTGTGACAAAGCTGTATTTCTGCTGAAGCATGCATGGGAACCCCTCCTGCAAGTCACTTACCTACTGAGTCAAGCTGAACAACTACCATCCATGTGCTTTTTAATATGACTCTGAAGGTACTTGGTCATTCTTGTAAACTGACAAAACTGTTTATCAAAAATTGCTCTTAAAAGCAAGCCAGCTGCCAGGGCTGTTGATGGATTTAACATATTTCCTCTTTGCCTCCAATCAATCTTCACCCTTCTACTGAAACAATATTATATCTCTGTTTGAAAATACTGGAGTTGAAGTTTCAATATGGGTAACTGTACAAATCTTTTTCACTTTTGTCTCCTCAAATCCCACAGAAATGGGATAAGCAATGGGAAATAAGAAAGGACATCATCAATTCATCAGTTAACCACTAACTTTGAGGAATATCTGGAATTGTTTTAAAAGAAAAGGCAGTTAGTGTTGAACATTTAACACAGGCAAATGAAGAGAGACTGAGAGAAATTAAAAATTAAAAATCCCAGGTGCAGAGCAACAGGCAGGGATGGGGGACAGGGAGTGGAGTCAGTGGGGTCAAAATAAAAGGGACTATAGGAACTATACCTCACAGAGCCCAGCATGAGGTGGGGAGGGCATGGTTTGACCCCAGACTCCACCTGGTTCTGACCACTCACACAGGAGAGTAGACAATATGCTGGTGCAGACTTCTGTGGTGGGTGATAGTGCTGGGGGACCAGGAAGGAGGAAACCTTGTCCCAGGTAATCCAGCTGCAAACATCAATCCCCACCCTCTCCAACACAAAACAGGCTCCACATAGCAGTGAAATCTCTTAATACGTTCTACAGTCTAAATGGAGACAGAACTTCTTCTCTACATTCTGTTAATCACTTCAGCTCTGTCCTGACACAGACACTGCTAGGAGACCACCACCAGCAAAGGCTGGAGGAGGGGCACACTGGGAAGCCATAGGATTTAGGAATGTGATGAGATAACTGTATTATTAGACACTCTGCCCTATCACAGAGCTCCTCTCCAAGGGAGAAGCATAAATCCCAATCCTCAATGTTGGTCTTGGGCATACGACTTGCTCTGGGCAATGAAATACAAGTGAACATGGCCCACGTCACCTTGAAGCAAAGGTCCCTTGTGATCCCACCTTATGCATGAGAAAAAGAGCTCTCAGATAAAAGCTGATCTTCCAGCCTGACTGCCATAATGAGAAGACTTGCGGCATGAGCCCAAAGACCAAAACAAGGAGTAAACTTAAACATGACTGACAACCTGAGGCAAAGCTACAGCTGATCCACAGATCCATTAGCAAAACCTAAATATTTAGTGTATTAAGTCCCTAGAATTTTGAAGGGATGTTGGCACAGAAAAAAAAAAAAAAGGTAATTTATGTGATCATATAATTTACCGTCCAAAGCTGGGACACTTTTAGGAGAGAAAAGGGGTTATATTAATAATTACATGGGGATAAGATACTTAACCTAGGATTGTCTGGGCAAAATTAGGACGTAGGGTCATCATAAACTTAAGAACTCCATGTGATCTCTGAACTCATCAGCTTAGTACAACATGACCTCTTGGGATTCACTTGGCATAGTAGCATGCTAAGTAAATTGAAGTTCTGCCTCACTTTTACTAGTAACCACAGGACCCCGACCCAGTTCAAGAACAATTCCAGCTTGATAGTTGACTACAGCTCATGCACTCACAAAACAGCCTGCTCAGAAGTCCAGTCGTGGGGGATCCAGAAGAGCAGAGATCTTGTCTCTCTCAACACTGACTGCCAAGAATCTAAAAGAGTTCCTGGCACACAGTAGGCATTCAGTAAGTGATGAAGCCCACCTGAGGAGCCCTGTGCCATGTGCTATGTCTACCTTGAATTACGGTTGTGTGGGTTGTGGCCTGTAAACTCTAGGGGGCACCAGTTACAGTCATAGTCATTATAGATTTTTGTGCATATTGTTATTTTTTAAATTGCGGAAAATGGCAGGAGTGGCTTTTTTTTTTCTGATTTACACAAAGGTGCTGTGTGAGTTAGCAGTGGCCCAGAGAGAAATGCCACAGGAAACACCAGTGGTGACCTACACAGCCACACCAGACACCAAGCATAACTGTCTAGGCTTCTGTTTACAAATAGCCGAGTATGTCTTCTAGATGGTACATTTCTACCTTTCTCTTGTTTTTTCAGAAAGAGGTGCTAGAAAGCTACTTTGGCATCACTAAGGCTATACTTCCCACCTCAGACCCATGACCTCCAAAAACGGAGCGGGAGCATCAGCTTAGAATCACGAGATATTATTTCTTAAGTTAGGTGGTAGAAACATGACTATTTATTTTATTGTTAATTTTATATGTGTTCATGAGATTTATTATTGTCATTTATGGTATATCTCATTTTAAAAATGGAAAAATATATGACATTAAAAAAATCATGACATAATTTTTGTAAAGAATAGGAATAGCATAATTAGTCCTTTTTTCCAAGAGTCGAGGTAATAGCCAGATAGTCCCTCAACGATGAAAAGAGGCAAATGGCAGACCAGTTCTGATCCAGATCCCTAGAAGTATGGCTGCTGTGGGGGTGATTGTGCATAAAACTATACCCAGAGCTGCCATGGAGTGTATTCTTCCCAGGAAAGGTGTGGCATAGGATGCCCTGTAATCATGCCTGTTTGTCAGAAACCTCTTCTACTGGCTATTAGCCCTAGACTTAAGATATGATGCATTGTAGCAATATCCCTAGCACACCACATAGAAGACACCCATGACACCTTGGACCCAGCAGACATTCCAGCTGGACACCTATAATACTAGAGGATTCCTGCAAGCATTAAAAAAAAAAAAAAAAGTGGACGTGTTTTACAGTGACAGTGATTACTGGCCAAGAAGTAAAACATTTAAGCCCACATACTAACATGGATGAGAAAAATTGGTTGTCTTCCTAAACTGTGAAGGGCCAGGAAGAACACATAAACAGACAAAAAAAAAAAAAAAAAAAAAAGAAAAGTCATGGAAGAAATGGGCAAATCAACACCTCAAAAGAGGGTAACCAAGCTGAGCCATCAGAATAAATAGCCCCTGATATGAAACGAATTACAGTAATGCAAGAGGCAAATTAATTCGTGTACTGAGATTTATAAAACAGCAACCAAGGGTGAGAATTATGACTGCAGCAGTAACCAGAAAAAAACACAATTGAGATCCAATCTGATCTAGAAGTAAAATAATGTGATTGGTGTAATAGAAGAAAAATTAAATAGAAAGCAAAGTCAAGGAACAAGTACCTGAATGTAGACCAACAAAAACAAAACCAAACAAAACAAAGACTTGGGAAATTTAAATGAAAGATATGATATGCAAAGTATTTATCCAGGAGGTCTAATATTTAAATTTTCCAGAAATGAGGGCAGAGAGAATGAGAGAATGAAGGTGAAAGTCATCAAAGAAAAAAACGAAGTCCCCTGGAACTGAAGGACAAC